TTGAACACAGCACCAAATATTTGCATATTTATCCATATCATCCTTTAATTTTTTTTTTAATACTTATTATTTTTAAAAATTATTTCTTAAAACTTATTACGGTCTAATTATGTAATAACCTCAAAAATAATACTTGGTTTTATTATTTTTGTGAAAAATCTTATTAAGTTGTGTGACTTTATTGGGTGTTTTATGAATTTGGTTTGATTTGAAAATATTGGAATTAAGTGAGTTTAATCTCAAATTTGGACTAAAATGCCCTTATGATTAAGTTTATAATTTTTTTTTAATGAAGTAGGCCCGTTTAGGCCCGACCCGTTGGGCTTAGCCAGGCCCGGCCCGATGGGCTTTCTCAAGCCCGGCTCATAGGTTGGGCTTAGGCTTTGAATTTTCTAAAAAAATCCGGCCCGGTCCGGCTCGGTATTTTCTCTCTCCTCTTTAAAGCCCGGCCCGGCCTATTGACGAGCCCTACATTGGCATATCAATGAAATATTATTTCACCCAATCTGAGATGGTATTAGAGCAGTCGATCATGACTGTCTCTTGACCTTACCCTAACAATCACTTTTGCAATAGCAACCGTCATACAAACCCAACAAAAACCTTCACTCTAAACATTCAGACCATTGTTCACGTCATTCAACAAGTAGACAACCCAGCACCAGCCCATATTCCATATCACAAACCAATTCGATTTTACCTTCCCTCTAGTCAAATCACTTTTTTGTTTTATTCTCATCTTTAGCAAATCAATTTCCACCGTTCTCTTTGCTTTTTCCTCAGCCCAATATTTTTTTTTTTGTCTTTTTCTCATTACTTGTAAGCCAATATCATGTCCAACGATGATGGATCAACAAACACCAATCCTTGGTGTCACGAGGCTTCAACACTACCACACAAATCATCACTTTGCAGAGTGACATCTCCAACTTCTCGGCAGGAATCAAACTAGATGAGAATAATTATTCTCTATGGCATCCAGTCATAGAGATGAAGATAGTTGGGTGAGAAAAACATGGCCACTTGACCTGTGATATTGCCCAGCCTGCAGCCACAAATTCCACATTTAATAAATGGTGCATCGGATTGCCAAATCAAGAGTTGGTTATTCGAGGCAATGCAACCTAAGTAGATTAAACGGTTTATTCGTTATGACACAGCAAAGCAAGTCTAAGAGGCAATCAAGCAAACCTATTCAGATTGTGCTGATGAAGCCACGATTTATGACATTCACAAAAGGTCATTCACAATGAAGCAGAATGGTGCATTAGTTGCTAAATATTATAGTGAGCTCACTAAGATTTTTCAAAAGCTTGATCAATTAAGTTCAAGCAATATGGAGCATCCAAAAGACATTGAAACTAGAGGCAAAGAGATTGATCATCTCCGAATTTATATATTTCTTGTAGGTTTGGACAATAATTTCGATCAAATCTGAGGAGAGATTTTGAGGATAGAGCCTAAACCTGAACTTGAGGCAACATATGCACATATTAAAAGAGAGAGTAATCGACAGGGAACCATGTCTAAAGCTAGTGTAACCTCTGACGCCACAGCCTTGGTTGCTTCCAGGTTCAAGCAATCTCGGTCGAACAATCACAGTGCCGACCCTACTGGTAACCGGCCTCCAATGAAGTGTACCAAATATGGTTTAGACACCACACAACTAAGGGCTATTATGAGATTATTGGTTATGTAGAAGGATGGTTTCACAAAGAGTGAAAGAAGGATTTGACTAGAGCCTCATTTGCATCCGATGAGTCATCCTAATAGACTACATCAAAACCTCCATTACCTACATCTGGCTTCAAGGCCTTGGCCACCTCAGGTACCTCTTACACATCTTCACTTACTTGTAATAGGTCATGGATTATTGATACTGGCGCTATTGATCGCATGACATCTAGTTTTATTAAGTTGCACTCTACAAAACCATCAAGCCAAACGTACATATTACCAATGCCAATGGAACCACCTCCCAAGTTATGGGAGAATGGTCTTTATCCTTTACAGCTACATTAAGTCTTGATCATGTCTTAGTTGTCCATTTACTCGACTATGACTTATTATCTGTTCTTTAAAGCACTGGTTCCCTTAATTATACTGTGTGTTTTTGGATGTGGTACTAGGAGGGGAAAGTTGTATTATCTGGACTTGACAGAAGACGACAGTAAGAGATTGAGTCACGCACATCATGTGCGAGGAGACGAGTTAATGAGGATGAAGAAAATTTGGCTATGACATAGAAAATTAGGGCATGCTTCTTTTGGTTATATGAAACTTTTATTTCCATATTTGTTTTCCAAGTATGTTGAATCATACTTTCATTGTAAAACTTGCATTTCGGCAAAAGGCCATCGTATTTCGGCAAAAAGGTCATCGTATTTCTTACCCATGAAGATTGAATAAAAGTTCTATGCCTTTTGTGGTTTTAGACGTTTATTGATGATTGCACCCGGATGACATGGGTTTTTCCCTTAAAGCAGAAAAGTGAAGTCATCGCAAAATTCAAGCAATTTCATCAATATGTTGCTACTTAGTTTGACAAGAAAATCACAACACTTCGGTCTAACAATGGAGGAGAGTATGTCAACCATGACTTACATAATTTTTTGAGCCAACATTGTATTGTTCATCAAACCACATGTGCCTATACACCACAACAGAATGGTGTCGCAAAGCGTAAGAGTTGTCATCTCTTGGAAGTTGTTCGTGCCTCTTTATTTGAGGCTCGTATGCCCCATCATTTTTGGGGGGAGGCTCTTTGTTGTGTTGTTTACCTCATAAATACAACACCATCCACCACTCTTTAATATCAAACTCCATTTCAGACATTGACCACTCTCCTTACCATGTCATCCACACCAAATCTCGAACCACGTCTCTGTGACTAAGTTTATCTATTTAGGACACACTAGAATTAATATAGCATATATCGTAAGTGTGGTGAGTCAGTTCATGCATGCACGAAGTGAAGCCCATATGGATGCTGTAAATCAAATTATGAGATACTTGAAGTCAGCTCCTCGAAGAGGATTGATGTTCTCATAACATGGGAATCTAGATGTTGAGGGTCATATTGATACATTGGCATCTCGATGTTGAGGGTCACACTGATGCATATTGGGCACCTATAACATAGAGGTGTCAAACGGGACGTGTCGGCACGGCCCATTTAGTGTCAGTCCATTTAATAAATGGGTCCGTTCTTTTTTGAAAATTGTCACGCTTGGCCCGAGCTCACAACCCTAGCCCATATGAGATCGAGTCGGGCTCGTAACGGGCCGATATACGCATAAACCAAAATTCACTTATGTATTGATATTTTTTTTTTTTTTTACAACTTCATTTAAATCTTTTTATAATTATGTATATACTAAAAAGATTTATTATCCCGGCCCGAAGACAAACCCTACCCCTTATGCGCGTAACTTGTACAACTCTCCACTTCTCCTCCCATGTTTCCATCAAACCCTAACCCAAACATTACCAATTTACATTACCCCTTCTTAATTCAAATACTAAAAGACTAACTCACTTTTAATACATTAGCCCTCACCCCTACAAACCTACCTTTCCTCTTTATATACATTCCCCCTCTGCCTCCTCCTCCTTAGGTGCTAGTAACCAAGCTCCACAACTCAACTCTTTCTCATCTTTCTCCTTCCTTCTTCTTGCCTCTATTTTATTTCCCATCTTAAAAACACAAAAATGTTCAACCCTTGTAGGTCCTCAGCTTAAGCACCACCCTAACCATCCTATTCACCTAAAATGCCTCAAATACTCCATCAACAGATCCAGTCACCAATTCTTGGTGCATGCCTCATCTTCCATACCGCTCAATCTAGTGGTTCTTGCAAGTACTCATGTATTTTCTACGACAAGGTCTTCTCTATGAGTCGGGCCCTTGGTGGCTACCAAAAAGCCCATTGCAAGGAGAGGAATGCACTGTTTGTTAGTGAGCAACAACGAGCTACTGAAGAAAACGACAAGGACATCGATGTTGTTTTGTCTCCTGGCCATATAACATAGAGGTGTCAAATGGGCCGTGATGGCCCAGCTTGGCCCGTTTAGAGTATGCCTATGCAATAAACAGGTCATGTCGAGCCCTTCCTAAGAAAATCATCAAGCTCGGCTTGAGCCCATGGTCCTAGCCCATATGGGATCAGGTTGGGTTTGTGACTGGCCAGTATGGGCCCACACCAAATTTCACTTATGTATTGCATTTTTGTTTGTCATTTTTTGTTTTACAACTTCATCTTTTTTATAATTATGTATATACTAAAAATATATATTATTTGTTTGAAAAAGTGGTCAATAACTTTATTTAAAGTACATTTAAATAGAAAATGGCTAGATTACTATTCGGGTTTTAAAAATTGAAACTTGAACAACAAAATCATTATTTTAAATAGGTCAACGATTACCACCACATTAAGATCTCGTTTGAGAGTGATTCTGAATATGTCAATGATCACTTCTCCATATAAGTGATTTTATGGAGAAACATATGGAAAGTACTTCTCCCCATAAGTGATCATAATCACTTCCAAACATGTCCTAAATGTTGTTGAATGAGTTTAATTTTTCCGCTTCATATAGTAGATATATTAAAACTTGATTTTTGAAACCACTAGTGGAGTTAAAATGCAATAAATATACAAAAGAAAAACACAGATTCTTCACTCTTTTTAGAGCCGTGCGCAGATTTGGTGACACATCTACCATTAAAGTGGATGCATTTCACAAGCCTAGTCTTGTAGACCATGGGCTCAATGGCACATCCAGGGGAAATTCGTACAATCACTAATAACATTGTGATTTTGTTTTGGTGAACATAACATTCGAATTTTATGTTTCGCTGAAATATGGTCAGAAATTGCCAAATTTCTGAAAACCATGACCAAATTTCACATCGCATTGTCAAGTTAGATCGCTTTTGTCTGGAGGAATCTATACACTAAACTAGACCACAATATACGAAGCAACAGAAACAGAAAGAGGAGAACATCTACTATCAACCCATACCCATATAAGAGATTTCATTTAATAGAAACATGTAATCTCTCATCCACCATAGCAAGTGTGATCATTGTACTCGGGTTTGTTCCAGTCTAAACAGAAAATGTCATCCACTAAACAAAAACATATTATCTCAAGTCCTATGTACTCATGAATCCATCATTTCACCCAACACAAGAAAAATTTCGGAGCGAAAATAGTGGGCAGAATTTCTTGTCCCGACCCATGTACATTTGCAACAAAATACCTGCACAATAAAACACATGTTACCAAAATATTTGGGATCATATGAATTAAAACAATTGAAATTTGTTCTGCTAGTGGGTGATTTACAAAGCTCCGAAACTATCTATCTACTCTGATTTGAAGAAAGTCTTTCTAGATAATGCAATTCCATACACAATCATGCAAGAGCAGTGTATGCACAAACATGCCTAAGCGCACATGCCACACAGAAAGATTGACTATTGGAACCAGAAAAAGTAGGACCATACGTAGTTAAGACGGTATGGAAACTAGTATCAAACTTCTATTCTTTATCACAATCAAATGCAATACAATGGAATGTATTTTAATTTCATAAAAGGGTACACATTCATATGAGATGCAGTTTTTTGAGAAGGAAGAGTAACTTTGCCAAAAGAGGTAAGAGTATAAAATGATTAAAGGACTAGTAGTCCATCTGATGCTAACAATACAACATCAGGCAAAATACCTAATTTTCCTCCAAACTATCCACCACCAATATACTCCGTAACCATAACCCATAAGCGAAATCACATAAAATAAAAAATTGATGCACCAACATCCTGTTCTTAGTTTCTTTGAACAGAGTATTCTCCATAGAAAAGTAAACAAAGGTTTGGCTGCCTCCTTCAAAACAAATCGTTAGTAGTCAATTTTCTCTTCTTTTTTGCTTACTAACAGACTTCATTAGAGAAAAGAACAGAAGCACATGGTTACTGTTCATTACCAAATAGTATAACAGGAGCTGATCATACAAAATAGTTACCATCTAATCAGATAGCAAAACAAGTAAAAAATGATATAAGCATATTCGCAAGACAAATAAGTACCAATACATTCTAACGCTTGTGTATTGATATTTCAAGGAAGGCCTACATGATGCATCAGACCATAAACAACGAAGTCAAAGGCCAGCACCGAATGTATGATCAGATATTTAGTACTTTTGAACTGTCAGCAGAAGTACCTGTACAAAATATAGGCCAGAATGATGGAACTTTCAGCTGCCCTGGAGAACCTTTCGAGGATCAAGTTGCCCACTACAGTAACTGGAAGGAACAGCTGAAAGCTCCTGCCTTCCTCTCCACTCCTCTCCAGGTTTCAGTGTGATAGGTTTCTCAATAGCAGCAGCCTCCACACACAGCATATGCTTGTACTCATCATCTCCAAAATCAGCCATAGCCTTCGACTTCTTATCCCAGGGATTCCACACCACTGGATAAAACAAACTAATCACTATACAATACAGAGTAAAATTCCAAGCACTACTATGAGGGCAGGTATTTAACATCATAACTCTTTAGACAAAAACCTCTCACGTCATTAACCTGAAATGAAATCAGAGAACCAGCAATGGCGGTTTGGACATATTCAATGAGGATCAATAGATGCACCAGTTAGAAAGAGTGACTTAATCAACATAATGGCCAAAAATAACATGGGTGAAGATATAGGAAAGATATGACTGTAGGAGTTATAATGAAAATATGGCTGACAAGACGACGAAATGGAGGACCAGGTTACATATCACCCACCCCAAATAGCTGGAGCAAGGGTCTGTTATTGTTGATTGATTTAAAATGTCCATCATCCTTACTAACACTATCAACTCATAAATTAGTTAAGTCCAAGCAGGATATTTGAGAGCACATGGACAACAAAAGAAGTAGAGTACCACCGATCCCAGTCATCATAGAGAAATTCAACCTGTTCTCTGGTTAGTTGTGACAATACCACAATGAGCTTCCATTATTCATGGCTAGGGTTAAATGTTGTCACTTATACGAGCAGCCATTTAATGGAAGTTATTATATTAATGTTTTAAAATCTTGTACCTTCAGTATAACATAAAAATTAAAAATTAAAAACCTCAAGCAGCAATGACATCACTATGAAAGGAGATGAATATATTGATCCTCACCAGCATCTGGAAGACCATCTTTGCGTATTACAAATGTTCTCTTCTTCTCATGATCCAAAATTGCAATCTTTGTAGGAGTGCTGAGATATATTTTGTCAACCTATTATCATTCAGGAAAAAAAAGTGAGAAAAGAATTAGAACCAAATTAACCTATGCAGAAAAGAAACAAAATAATGGCATCTACAACTTACCTCTGATTCAAATGTTATAGCATCACCTTGTTCAGTGCAACGTTTCCTGTTCTGCAAGTTGTCAAGATAATCCAAGGTCTCCAATCCTTCTACACGAACTTCACTGAACACAAGCACTAACCAAATTTAAATTCCATCCGGAACTGCTGGTTTATTACCAACTGTATGCTACATGAAAATGGCTATGGAAGTGAGGACAAGCACAAAAATATTGTAGTTCCTGTTGGTATATTAACGATTAATAGAAAAGGCGGAGGCAAATATTTTTCTTTTAAACTGTTGTATTGCATGAAATTCGCAGTTAACCATAAGATCTGTCTAATATTAAATGGCACTTCCTAAATGTCGTTTTAAAATTCTATTAAGTTTATAAAGTATCCATCCCTATGCAACAAAAAGCACAAGATTCAGTATATGATAGGGTACACTTATATAACTACATGTTCTACATTGCATGCAATCTATGCCTACAGATTCATGACTATTTAAAACAGAAAACAAGGGGCAAAGCTTTTGATTTTTCAGACATAAATCAAGCTACATTAAATGAGCATGAAGAGTAAAAATAACTAGCATTTCGAACATAAATAAAGTATGTAAATTACCTGATATCTGAAACAGAGAAATAAGTGTGATATGCAAATGTGAACGAGAATGGCTTTCCATCAGAGTTAGTATTCCTGATGCGAGATATCAACGTCAGATCTCCTCCAGGTCCCAAAGCTACCCGTAGTCGGTACTCATAACTTCAATTCAACACAAATTCAGTAAAGAGAACCTTGGTATTAATAACAAAGAAAAATTGGAAGATTAGGGAGCTTCCAATTATAAACCTTTTCCCAGTATTTACCTGTGAGGCCAGGTCTTCATATCTTCTTCACTAGGCCTAAGGATCAAATCAACAGCAACCTTATTGGAGGTATTTGTTGGAAAAGGAGATGGATCAGGGTCAACGCTCCAAAATCTGTTTCTAGCAAATCCATGCGCATCAAGAGAACCAAGATTTGAAAACTGCACAGTGGGCAAGTTCCTGTCACCAAGATGAACAACCAAATCAAGCAAGAAAGACAATTAGAAAGAATTGCACACCTGAGGAAAGCATATTGGGATTCCCCCACGAATAGCTTTTGGAGGTTTAAATATAGCCTGCAGGAGGAAAAAAGAAAAAAAAAAAAGCAATTAAACACTTCAGATGATTTTTGGGTTGAACAAAGAAAGACAAGATTCAAAGCAAGGAAGAAAGATGCCAAAAGGCATTATTAGACCCCTTCCCATGGTAAATGACTGCTAGGGTTTCTAGACAATAAATAAAAGAGCATAATTTCTAGACAAATGATGAAAATGAAAATAAAGGTCATAAGCCTTCACAGAAACCATAAAAGTCAGCTCACCCAGTATGTTATAGCAAAAACGTTTCTTCGAAATCATTTTGAATTAAAAGAATTTTCCTTTTTATTTTAGCCTTCAAGATAAAACATGGATGAGGGACAATTCAAAACTGGAAAGCCCAGAAAGCAATTACGAAAGACTTCGAAGAAACTATAATAAACATGAAGATCTCCTCCAAAGAGTGCATAAAATTTAGTAATGCAACTTGACAAAATCTTATAGCCAGCATAAAAATATAAAAAGCAAACTGAGTTCATACACAAAATATGGAGGACAAAACATTATTGCAGCGTATGGCTGCTCACTCCACAAAATGTACTACCAAAATAACATTGTTCGCAATCTTCTATGGATCACAAACTTAAAATGAATGCATGCACAGACATCCCTTTCAAAGGTTTGTAATTACAATCCACAGAATTTACTTCTACAAAAACAAAATGATAAATAGAGAGAATTAACATCAAATTACGGCATAGTACCTTACTGCTAACAAATAGCAATTCCTCTCCATGATCATTCTTCCATGATGTTACATGACCCCCATACAAATACACCTGGAAAGCCCAAACAGAAACAATTATATGACAATAAAAGAAGTGAAAGACCGTTGAAATCAGCATTAAGGAATATGATTCTGCAGCATGAAATTTCATAATCCAAAAAGACTATCAACCGGAAAAGTAGAAAACAATACATTATTTTAACAACTTTTAAGAAAAGCCAAAACAGCCTTATAAACTGAAACTAAGCAGAATGAAACTAAATCAGGGTGTGAAACCACTACATATATTACTGTTGGATTCTAATATCAACAAAATAATCTAGTTTGCATGAACAAATAAAAAAGGAAAAGTAAAAATTTAAGCAAATGTATCCAAATTCAAGCATGATCAAGAGAGAAGTGAACCAAATGGAGGTTCTAAATGAGGAATTAAACATCATTGGATACTTCACCTAAGGTCAATACATTGCATGCCCAAAATATTAATAAACTATCACAATTATCATAAGCTATTACCATACTCTAAGTATGCAATCAAATGAGAATTTGTAAATTAGAACTATTTCAGTGCAAAGTTTCTCAAACTTCTTCATTTCATATCCTAACAATATAACACAGAAACTGCAGATTATACCATCTGCATCTACTTACAAATATCTTTTTTCAAAGTACAAAAACACGCTGTCTCTCAAATCTAGTTAATACTTATGAATCTAACAACCTTTGGCAGCCCTGAATGCTATTGGTGGACCTATTATTCCTCAAATATCAGACTTAAATTTTACTCAGAAAAGGAAAGAAAGTCATTCCATAATATGAATCGACCTCAAAGACTAGTTTCAAATATGACCAAACAGAAACTAATTGGGAGTGACAAGAAAAATTGAAACTGGAGTTCAGCCAGAAACTCTCACGAGCATGGCGGAAATCAATGGAAAGCATATTATTTGCCTCTAAAAGAATAGTTTCTAAATCAGATTAAACCTGCAATCAATTAATCATAACTCCTCACCATTTCCTTATCGAGAACTTCACCCAAACAGATCTAAAAATGAATAATTGAAAATAACAAATAAAAAATCAAACCAAAGCAATTAAAGAAACCCTAGATTCACGAAATGGAAGCGAAATCCAAATTAACAATCGGAAAGGAAAGAAAAGCCAAGAAGACGAAAATTAATCAAAGAATATCATTTCTCCAATAGAAAACCGTAATCGAGCAAGCAAAAATCAGATCTCAATCGCATAAAATGATAAACCGAACGGAAATTGTGGTATAAAGGATCGTACGACGTCGTAGAAGCGGGGTTACCTCGGCGACACTGCCACGCGGATCACGGAGGACGACCTTCTCGAGGCCATTGATGCCCTTGCTGAATTCAGCGCCAGGATGAAGAAGCTTCGCATTGGCATTAGCAGCAGCAACACCGCCACTCCCGCTACTACCACTCAACGCATTGGTGGCTGCAGCAGCAGAAGCAGAAGCAGCAGCAATGGGAGCCTTATCGCTACTCATACTCTGAAACTCTCTCTCTCACGATCGATCGATCGCTCTCCGCTTCTTCTTCTGGTTCTTGTTGCCCGACGCTTATTTATAGAGAGAGAGAGAGAGAGAGAGAGAGAGGGTGTTATATTTTGTAGTAGCAGCAACTGTCAAGTTTGTGTCAAGAAAATAAGGAAAGCCGTTTCTCTCTCTCATGAAACTTCCTTTCCTCTTTGTCTCTTGTTTAGAATTAAAGAAAGAATTTTGGTGCGACTTGGGTGTCGTAAATAGTTACAGCGGTGTCAATTTTGGGAGCCGCACACACGTTATTAGAAGTTTGCCTCGTTTGCACTCCATGGATGGAGGGAGGCTATATGAATTGGTATGTGATTCCATTTATGGTTCTTGTTTTTTTGGATAAAAACTTCATTCTCATAGTTGGCACAAACACTTTTGGAAAGTTTCATATGGCTATGAAATATCCTTCCATCTGGTTTTTCACCTTGTATGTATGTACGTACTTTTAATATTAATTATTTTTTATACACTTTTGAAAATTACAGTAAAATATACCATTTTTAAAATGAAACGGATAATCCATGTAGGTACATATTCTTCATATTTAATATACAAATTTTTTTAAAATAAATTAAAAATATATAAAATGCTAAAATTTTCACTTTTTTTTTTTTATAATTTTGCCAAATAATACACATATGTATTTATCTGTGATTCGAACATGAGTGAAAGGGAGCAGGCTCATTATCCTAGTCAACTGACCTAACCCACTTATACTCGTAACTTAGAATTTCCAAATACTAAAATAGTAATTATTTATAGCGTGAAATTCGAATAAGAGTTACATTCCCTAAGGACTCATTCTTCAACCCCATTAAAGTTTAAATGTCTACTTAATGCAAACTCTTAAATTACTTATCGTGCTAACATGAATAATAAACAAACTAAGTTAGTGTCAAACATAAAATAACATGAACTGACATTATGTTCATCCTTCCTTTCGGCAATCCTTTCGATATTTTATGGTATTATAGTTCATCAAGAAATGAAAACACGATTAATGATTAACTAATCTCAAACGAAGCCATAAGCATCAAGGCTTCTTCAAAGTTTTCATGTTCATGTCAACTGTGAAACCCATGTGCGGCGAGTTCGCTAACACTGTATGGTGTGTTACCATTTTTTCTTTACTAGACATATACCTTACACTTGACTAACACATAATTGACTAGGGGTGGCGCAGTCAGGTTCGTTTTGGTTTTTCTCTCAAATTGGAACCGAAATTCAAACTTATACGCAATCTAATTCGGTTTTATTTTCATAGAAAGTGTCTAGAAGAACCGAACCACATCGGACCTATGTAGTTCCAGTTTGGTTTGACCGGTTTCCAGTTTGGAAAAACAAAAATATGAAAATCTGAAGAAGAGAGAAATAGGAAGAAGAGAACAAGAGCTAGAAGATATCAAATAAGAGAGAAAGAGGTAGAAAAGATAAAGAGGAAGAGAAATAGAAACAAATAGGATGAATATAAAAAGATAAAATGGCATAGAAGAGATAAAATAAGAGACAAAGATGAAGAGAAATAGACAGAAATAGGTGGAAAAGACAGAAAGACGAAAGCGCATCAAGAACGGATATGGTTCATTGAAAAGAAAAAGAAGTTGGATTAGAGTTGTTATTTAGTTGGGTAAATAAATTGGAACTAAGAAATTTGAGTATTAATTAGACTTAAATATTTAAGTATTACTTTGGGTTACTAATGTGATTCGAACATTAATGAGGCTTACTAAATTTTTTGGATATAAATGAATAAGTTAACATATGAACCGATTTTTTCAAGACAATAATTGGGACTTGAACCAATCTAAAGCTGTCTAGTTCGATTTTTGAGCCTAGGTTCACTTTTTGGTGAACACAGTTTTTTTCGACTCAGTTCATTGATTCAAATGCCTACACCTATAACTGACTATTGGGGCACATTTGTTAAGTGCTTTGGTATCGTATTCTTGGGTGTTTTGAATAAGAAACCCTTTGTGGTGATTTCTTCTGAGCCATGCTCATATTGAAGTTCCTTGTCACCGTTTTTGGGTCCTTAATCAATCTTTCTCCAAAAAATCCCTCTCTAACACTTCTCCTATTCTCTAAATTTAGTTCTAATACGATGCAATCTACCCAATTGTTTTTTTTTTCCATGATTGCTGGATTGACATATTTGTTCGTTGTTATGCACAATTAGATTGTTGGCAACCATGTTTTCCCCAGACCTATCACATGGTTTGTTTTTGCTTAAAGAGCATATGTGGTGGTGGGTGTGACCGCGACGAAGCTTCTTTAGGTGGTGGTAGTTCGCTGGGCTAGGTCTATCCCAACAAAATTCGCCGAGACATGTCTAGGTTAGGTTTGGTTACGTCATACTAACCCAAGATTGAGAGCGAAACCTAAATCGTAAAGCCTTAGGTCTAGTTATGTGATTATCCAAGCCTAATTGAGTCCTAAGTGCTCAATAGTAGGTTTACAGTTAGGGTTCGAGGCTTGTGAACAGTTCTGGAACAAGTTTGGATAAATTCGAAAGCTATGGTTTTTGGTTCAAGACTTGGATTTAGGGTTTGGACACTAAAATTCCATTTTTAGAATACTAAAATAATTTTCTAGAATTTTTAAATAATTGAAACTATTTTTTAAATAATTTTAAATTCCACAAAATTATTCAAGATAATTAATTAGTATTTATTAAGTAATTTTTATGAAAATTAATTATAATATTTAAATACTAATTCTTCACTAAATAAATAAATGTAATTAAAACACAATACATTCAAAGAGTATAGCCGCGTGGGAATACTCCTTAAATAGATTATTTTAACTGTATAGCCGCGCGGTTATACGCCATAAATATAATATTTTAACTGTACAGCCGTGCGTACTCCATAAATATAATATTTTAACAGTACATCCGTGCGGCTATACCCCAAAAATATAATATTTTAAACATATTGCCGTGCGGCTATACTCCAAAAATATAATATTTTAAAAGTATAACCGCCCGGCTATACTAAAAAATATAATATTTTAAGAGTATAGCCATGGCGCTATACCCCAAAATAACTCCCGACGAAATGGCATCGGCATATATCTATCCCGGCGAAATTTGCGGTAATAGACCTCTCTCAACGAAATTTCGTCGGGAGAGTTTTGTTTTGTTTTGTTTTTTAAATTTAAAAAATATAAAATTAGTTTCTTTACTTTTGTTTTTCTGGCCAACTTCTTTAATTTAATATATATAATTAAGTAATATTAGTCCTTTTGAATTACTTTAATTATGTCTTATCCCTTTTAATTTAAATTCTACTGTGAAAAACGAAAAAATAAATTACATATTTCCGTTTGTTTGTCTCTTTTAAATTTCTCTAGAGCCCAAAAGCTATTCACACTCTTGGTCCCTCTAAAAATTGTTTTCTAGCTTCACCCTGCTATTTTTTTAATTAAAAAAAAATTATGAAAGATTTCATTAATTTGATAAACTTGGAGTATTATCCAATCACAATGACGCAAGTCATGGAGGTTCTTCCTCTAACCAAAATATTTCCTCATCTAACAACAAGGCATGCCTAGAAAGGAAATGAGCCACCTTATTACATTCTATGGGGCTACATCGCCATATCATTAGAGCGAAAGAATATGTGAGGCACTTAGCTTCTTCAAAAAGGTGACCTTCCACACACGCAAATCCTCCCCATCTTTCTCAAGAGTAGTAATAATATATTGTGCAGTCCCTTCCACTTCAATAGTCCCGACAAAATTTCGGCGGGAAAGATCTATCGCAACACATATTTGCCGGAATATGTCTATTCCATCAAAATTAGTGTTCTTTTAGGCTCTTGGGTTGCTTTAGAGTTTCAGTTATATATGTTGGGTTTTATGGACTTTAATTGAGATGATGCTTAATTATAGTGATGTGGGCTAGTAGCTGTTTATGCAGTTTTTGTCCGTTTTAGTTTTGATTTTTAGTGTGTTACTTTTGTTGCAATCTTAATTTGTGTTGTTGAAGATTATCTTCTTTTTCTAGGACATTTCCTATTGAAAGGAGCGATAATATACTAAACTCACACTGTCACACACATTACACATATGCTAGGACTCAAACCTAGAACCTTTGTATTGTTGGAGATTATCTAATTAAGTTGTTTTTTGATATATTTTATTTTATTTTTTAAAAGAAAGTTGGACTGGATTACTATTGGATCAGATTAACTCTTAAATTTTGATTTCTGAAAGTTTGACTTGTGAAGCTAGCAAGTTATCAAATTAAGATCATAAATGAGTTATCTAATTTAAATCATAAAATTTAAATCCTCTTATATCGAATTCGTATAGAAACCTCATCCATTTACAGGTCTACTTGAAACAATGAATGAGACTTTGTGAGATATTAGAAGAGATGCATTTGAATGACTCGAAGCTAATTGGAAAAGGCGGATGGTGATAATATGTAAACATTAGCCCATTTAATTTAATTTATTTGCTACATTTCTGGTTCAAAAAATAAACTGAATACATTTTTCCGATCTATTTTGCTAAGAAGACCAAAGGGAAGAGGATAAATTAACCAGGAGGTAAAATCTTATTAACCCCTTATCACCTCTCAACTCATAGCCAAAAGCATTCATTTAGTAATGAACCACACAACAATGTTAAAGAATTTACCTGTAATTAATTTTCAGTTAAACTGACAAGGTTAAAAATGAATATATTTCTAAGAATATAAGGGGTAGGAAGGCACAAAGAAAGGCAAAAAGTCACACTTTTATTGTCAAAACAGGAGCGATTGGTTTTTACACTCTGCTGTACACACTGTCATCCCTCAGATATCAACACAACCTAAGTATGCATATGCAAGCCCCCTAATTGCTCTACTGAAATCAATTTCTGAATCCAGAAAAAGCAACCAAAAAAAAAAAAAAAAAATTCAAATTTTGAATAAAAAAATTGAAAATGAAAGACAAAAATGCAAGCTCACAACAAACCTGTGACCAGAAAGAATACCAAGAAGCTAACTTAACAAAAATGCAAGCCTAGACATTCAAACCAACTCAAAAGGCCAAAGAGGGGAAAAAGATTAGAAAATTTGTTTGTTGTTTCTGTCCAATCATGAAAACAAGCTTCTTGGGAGCAGAAG